CCCATTCAAGTTTTTAAAAAAATACAGTAAAACCTATAAAAGCCAGAACCTTTGTCAAGGTGAAAACCCGCCAGAGTAGGAAAACTCAAACATTTTCCACTAAAAGGAGCAATATAAGTGTTAAGACTGCAATGTATCCAAAGTGGAAAACTTACAAGACCTGGAACAACAAGGTACTTGTGTCAAGTTCCAGTTCTCACAGGTTTTACTGTAGCAAGCATTCTATGATATTAATAAGCTTTTCTCAGAATGAATCAACTACACATGGGAAAAAAGAGATTATCATAAGGATAAAATGACCCTGAGACTAGCTTTTAAAGTGTGGTCTTGTTTCCCTAGGTTGCAGTATTTGTGAAATTATATAGAGATAATGCTCTGCAATTTCTTAAAGTAAGTAGCGCTAAAACGAATTAAAGTGGCATATGGTTTGAGGATTCTTCCAAAGAAACTACTCTAGGCAGCCATCCTCTGTTCTTTTCTCTGCTTTTTAAGGTCATGGTAACATGATAGATTTCTGGGACTCACACCATCTGTCCAGACACTTCCATCACTGCTCATTTTTCTTGTTAAATAATCAGAACACTTCACACTTCCCAAACACTGCTACTATAAAGAGCAGTTAAAGCAGAATGAAATACATTTTTTCTATCCAGAAATGTAGTGGTTGGAAATGAACAGTGCTTTTGAGATTTGTGGATTTCAGATCATGTCAGTGAGAAGAAAGCAGTTCAAGCCTTAGAAGGAAATTTTAAATATCAGGATTCTAACATAGGCTCTAGAAATTATTTTCCTTAGAAAATAGGTGACACTGTCATTACTTCTTGAAAAATATTTGTAGCTGTTTTAATACTGAGATAATTAAAAAGGTCTCAGTATGTAAATATCTCTTAAGAGCAAAAAAAAAGGGGAATTTATTAGTTTTTTTAGTAGTAGCAGCAGGAACAGCAGCTAATAGGATACTCGCTGGGCTGCAAACCATAAGGTTGGTGGTTTGAGCCCACCAGCTGCTCTGTAGGAGAAAGATGAGGCTTTCTGCTCCTACAAAAAAAAAGATTTAACAGCCTTGGAAACTCTGTATAGGGTCGCTATGAGTCGAAACTGACTACATGGCACTTACAATAAACAAGACATGCTAGACACTGTTCAAAGTCCTTCTGTGTATTTAACTCATCTAATGGTTAAAACAAACCTATGTGACCTTACGATCCAGCAATCCCTTTACTCGGTATTTACCCACAAGAAAAAGATATATGCACACCAATGTTGATAGCAGCAGAAGACGTATGCACACCAATGTTTATAGCAGCACTATTTACCATAGCAAAAAGGTGGAGACAGCCAAAGTGCCGATCAACTGAAGAATGGATAAACAAACTGTGGTACATACACACAATGGAATACTATGCTACACTGAAGAATAGCAAGGAAGCGGTAAACCACCGCATAACATGGATGAACCTTGAGGAAATTATGCTGAGTGAAATTAGTCAGTCACAAAAAGAGAAATACTGCATAGGACCACTATTGTAAAGGACT